TATTAAATAATTATTTTAAAATAGTATCCCTCCAACGACATTAAAAAATTATTTATTAAGAAAAATTTACTAGCTACTAAAAACAAAATTCTCCAAACTATGGACGAAAATCTCCTTGACAGAAGTTGGGCTATAGCGTTTCAGGCTATGGACTTAGAAGCATGAAAGGCCCAAATAACATAAATGGTAGTTTTTTTTTTTTTAATAATGAAATAACAAAAGGCATGAAAAATCATGGTGAGATATAACAAAAATTAGAATATTACAGATATGGGATGAGGATTTGAACCCGTAACATTTTACTAATGTCCCTTAATTAGTTCCAGTTGACAATAAAATCAGAACTGCATAAATACAAATTTTAGTAAAATAACATATTCATCAATTATTTGTAACCATACTTTTTCGTATCACTACTTACCACATATATATATAGTATAATAAGTGGGGTCGGGGATTCGAACTCATAATTTATTGATTATAGATAGATGTCAAATTATCGCTGAACTAAATTCATGTTGACCACTATTTACTATATTCCTTCTAAGCAATATATGCACTTAGAGTTTTTACATTAATCACATCTAAAAGATGACTGTGAAATCTTTAACAACGTTGGATAACTAAGATTAAGATTTATTTAAAATGTTAAAAAGGAAAAAAAAAAGTTAGATAAAAATTTAAAGACCAAAATAAAAAGAAGGAATTACGAAAAAATAGCAAAAAGTAAATATGTACTATAGCATTAAGTTTAAAATTTTACAAAAATGACATATATTGGATTTGGGCCCAATGAAGTCCAATTTCGTATTTAATTAAAGCACACAAATTTCTAAACTAATTACATATATACCACACTACCTATTTATTTATTTAATTTTCTTTTTTTGCAGAGGTTTTTTCTTTTCTTTATGGCCAAGTCAATATCTCTATATTGTGTATATGTTTTAAATACTTTAAAATTTAGCTCTACTCTTAAATGAATTTCTCTATACTGTCGAGATAAATGGTCTAAATTAGGATTAATTTTCATAAATTATCATGGGCTTAATTCTTTAATCAATATATTTCTCTTGTTTTCAGTTTTATTAATTTAAACTCACGAGAATGAATCTCTCTATCTACTCAATATATTTATAGAAAAGATAATATTAAGTCATTGTTGATATGTGTAGCCATGAGCATAACTTTCAGAAAATTGAAATAAACTTTATTGAGATACTCATAAATGAATTAAATTTATCCAGACCATCCGTTCAAATTTTTAGGTTGGGTGGTGGTTTATTCATAATTACATATATGGTATCAGAACGTGTGTTCGAATTCTTGCATTGTTCCAATTACCACTGAGCTATGCAAAAATTATTTTATTCATTTCATTAAGTTCTGAAATTTACATCTAACTTGATAAATTCAACTATAGATCGAGCAATTTGGGAGTTCAAAGGCTTTGGATCACCACAATATTAATGTTAACATCCATTAATTCACTCTTTTGTAAATTTTACTTAATTTCCGTAAATTATTTTGTTCGCTTCATTAAATTATGGAATTTATATCTAGCATAAGGAAATTTAACTATAGCCTATAGACATGTATTTATGAGCATGTGGGGGAGTTGCAATGTTAATGCACCATTAAGTAATTTTTTTGTAAATTTCACTTATAAAAATATTTATTAATTTTCCTAAATTATTTTGTACGTCTAATTAAATTATGGAATTCAAATCAAGTATACGACATTGAAGTAATGTAAACTTAATTGAAATGAAGATTAGAAAAAAAGGGAACGATAAAAACATAATTGATAAGGAGCTAAAAACAAGGAATAAAATATAAATTTTTAAATTTATATTTTGAAAGTAAACTTAAACAATCAACGTCAGACAAACCAAAAATCATATTTAATGTGTGACTTAATTTAGAAAAAAAAGTTAAATAACCAACAAAATAAAATCTACTAAAAAAGTGAGAAAAAATTGTAGAAAATTAGGAGGAAAAATTCTTTATTTGTATAAATACATATTTAGTTGGTGCAAAAAAGATATATTTGCATATTTGTGACATTTTCTTATAAAAAGCAAGTATTTGTATAAATACATATTTAGTTATATAATTTTCGAATAACAAATATGGCAAATACAAAAATTCTATTGTCCTAACAAAGTTAGAAAGATGAAATGACATTACTTTTTTTAAAACAAATTTACACACTCTTTCCAGTGATAAAATGTTATAATTCAAGATTTAGAGAAGCATATACAACTTGTCAAATCTTTTCAATTTTTATCACAATTATTGTAAATACACTTTTTTAGATAATTCTGTATGCGGATATAATTGTTATATTGTTCACGATCTAAATTATTGTTTTACCGTTGGTATAAGCTTCTTGTATAGGATAATATCGTCTCTTATCATTATATTATTTATTACTTATTCAAGTGTCGTTGGATCAAGTGTTTGTAAAAGTTAATTAGTTTATATATCAATAACTTTGTTTAATATGAAGGTGGAGTACTTTATGATGATGCATAGAAAGATACAATAGACTATGAATATTTATTGAAAAAAAAATTAAAAGATATATAAAGGTGTATTAATACTCTATTTGTTGACTAATTTTATTCAACTTTTAAGCCATATATTATTATAATCATACTCATTATCGTATCACGACATTCTAGATTTTACTGCAATTTTTCACATTTATAAGATATCAAGGATAGAATTAAATTTTTTAAAAGAAAAAAGTAAAGTGGAGGTGTAATTTAGCCAAATTATTATTATCATTTATAGCTTTTCACATCAAAGAAAGATTGGTAAAAATTACAGGAATAGAATTATTAATTACTCAAGAACACTTGGGAAGTAAAATGTTCTTTTAATATCATTTTTAGAGATCACATATCAATATCAATATTGATTTTATTTTATTTTTTATTTTTTTATTTTATTTTTTGTCTTCTTCCATTTGAAGACTATATTTGACCCTTATCTTGTCAAGATTAAAAAACTAGCAACTTTCTATAAGATTAGTTGTACCAAAGTCATCGCTTTAACATGTTTCCAAGAACTAACCCGCTAATAGAATAAATAAAGTTTACTAAAAAAAGAATAAAATAGAAAATGAAGATATAGTATGAGTAAGGTTTTAAATGTCGACATCGATGAAACGTGGAGGTCTCAATTTTATGGAAATATATCTGTTTATGCAAGAGTTTGCACACGGTTTGACCTTGTCAAGGTAGAACGTGGTTCAAGCTCTGACTTCGAGCACGATTGAAAGACATGCACAAGAGAGCAAAATCTTTTATGTTCAAGTCAGTAGCAGCTCGAACTCAATAGTAAGTTCGAGGAGAAATTCAATACTTGAGATTGAAATGAGGTCCTCTATTTATAGGTGTAGGTTCCGACAGGCTTGATCGAAGTGAAGGTCRAACCCAAATGGTTTAACTAAGGAATTACCACTTAATGAAGGAAATAGTTACTAAGTCTTCCACTTCGAAAGGTTCGAGTTAGAGTATTTCTTGGCGATTCATTGTACTTCGGGTGACACTCCAATTTCCTTTCCCAAACAATATCGATGGAAATATCAATAAATAGATATTTCTGAAAAGTTATAAAAAGAATTTGTAAAAAATATATAAAGTAAAAATGATTAATATTAATATTCTGTTTATATGAGTGATATTTTGTTGATATCTTTTATATTTTGTCGATTTTTTAATACTACAGAAATGTCGATTTACCACTCGTGTCGATGTCGATCCTATAGATAAATAGAAATGTCAATAAAAATGTCGACATGTCGATGGATATTTAATACCATAGGTATAAGAGGAACGACTTTTCTATGAAAATTCATTACATTTCGATCACAAAGAAAGACAAATCCAATCCCAAAGAAAAGAGCTAACAAAATGAATATACATTTATAGCCTAAATTTGAAACGTTAAGAAAATAGATTTTTTTCCTTAAAAAAAGAAATTCATATACTAATATCAACTAAATTAATAAATTTTAGGATTATCATCCTCTAACCAACGCCTCAACCGTGGGATGTTTCGAATCTCCACCCTACATACTGTAGGAACTAAGGAAAAGAAAAAATCGAATTTACACTTCCAAATTTTGATATCATAATGGGACAAAAAATTTATTTTATTATGTAATTGTATGCGCTATCCTCCAATTAATTCTATTTGCATGTTTTGTATTAAATTTTTTAGATAGGCTCAACATAAAAAGTGAATCAATATTTTTATTATATCGTAGCACGATATTGACAACGTACAAAAGAAGGTTAACAAAATATTATTAATATGAACCTAATATTAATAATAAAAATTTTGACATTTTCAAGAAGTAAATATCCTTATTTATTAATTTAAATATTTTTACAAAATATAAATGATTTTTCTATAAATATCCATTGACATAAAAAATTATCAATAATACCGTAAAATTGAGACATCATCATCTCTGTAAAGGTCAATACGGACTGCCTTGTTCTTTTTATCTTAAAAAAGTAATCATCCAAACATTACATAAGGCTTACATGTAACATTGACTAAAGAAATTTGTTTAATTATTGTTGATACAGTGTCATGTCAATTTTCTTATATATGCAACAATTTGACATATCAATAAAAATTATAGTCTAACCATTAGGGAGGGAATGAGCTCAAATCCTTGATGGTCATAACTCAACATGATCATAGTATATTAATCGAACATGAAAACCTTGGAGCTCTTATAAGTGGTAGGATAGGGGAGGGGTCGAATTGCTTCGAGAAAGAGAAAGATAGGAAGGATTTCAAGTTAAACCATGTACAACTACGAGTTTCCAAACAACAAAATGTCATCCTCGGATGCAAGAGCGTAACGCTTAGGCACCATAGAACATCAACACAAGAAATTATAGTTCAACCAACCAGAAAGTAGAAGTTGACCAGATCAAAAGATCATAAGCTCTTGCAGATTGAAACCAGTGAGCTTAGAAACAAGAATTTTGGTAATGTCACAGAAGACAATGCATAAAATCTACAGCTCTATTCATTCTTGTTGTCATGATTTTGATTAGCTTGACAAAATTGGGAAGGGAATATTTTCCATGAAATATGTATACAGGAAAACCATTCTGATCTCTACATTCCTACTGAGAGCCTGTATTAACCAGCCATCAAGATGGGAAGAAATCAAAATAAAATAAAATGTAAAAATTAGAAGTAAAAATAAAAAAGAAGTTTTCCCATTATTAACTACACCATGGTGGTAATACCATTGTATCTAGGCCTTGTTCTATCTGGTGAGAGTCCATCTTCCATTGCCTTCCTCTTGTTGCTGTTCGATTGTTGCGGTGGCGTTGGCGGGAGTAATTGCAACTGTTCTTGCTCCTGTGGTGGCGTTGGCAGCAGCGATACGGGTTGCGGTTGAACTTGATCCTGTGATGGTGTCGGGACCTGCTGCAGTAGCGATCGTAATTGTTCTTGTTCGGGATGTTGTTGTTGTTGAGGCTGTTGTTGCTCTAGAGCTTGGGGTTGGCTTTCTGAATCAGACTCCTCTTCTCTTCTTTCTGGTTTGTCACATTTGAGTTTGGTTTTCAACAAGTGGGGTCTGAGCCTGTTGACATCGGATAATCGGACCGGTTTCAAGAAGAATTCTTCGGCTCCTTCTTCTAAACATCTGTTTTCCAATCATCAAAATCCACCCTTGAATCAGATTCAAAACTCACAACTCATAAACCAGATCTCTCAAGAACACCTGCATCATCATCGTCATATTTTATTTCTCTTTTTCTTACCTATTGATTCTTGAAGGCACATTCTCAGATGACATAATCACAACAGGTATGTTTCTCAGAGCTTTAGACCCCTGCAAAACCAGAGGAACTCCTTCAGAAACACCCCCCAGATTCTGTTTATTTGACTAGAAAATAAGTTGTGTTCCAATTTTCATCTATAGTTACTTTGATAATGTTACCAAAAATCAAATGAAACCTCAGGACCCAGATGGGAAACATTCTAATTTTGGCATCAGAAAAGCAAATTTCCCCTCAGAGGCATTTGTACAAACACTTGGTGTGCACACAAACAGAAATGGTAACAAAAGCAGGAAGATGAGGCAAAATACCTTGATCTTCTTCAACAAATCATAGCCAGTCATCTCAGGCATACAGTAATCTGTGATTACAAGGTTCACATCCACCATCTGGAAAAATCCAGAACAGAACAAAAGTGAGAAAAAAGAAAACAAACAGCAGAAGAACCCCCCACAAATCGAAAGGAAAAACCAGAAAACCCCCAGAAGAGAAAAATGGGTTTTAAACAGAAGAATCCGTTCAGAAAAATCAGATCAAAAGCGAAAGATGAAACGAACCTGATGGTGATTATTAGGGAAAACAGAAGGAATCGAGTTGTTTCCCGGGTCATCTCCTCGCAACCCCAGAAACTCCAAAGCCTTGCTCCCAGAATCAACCGTAGTGACTGCCATAAAAAAACAAGCAAACAATTACCAAAATGCAACCAAAATCCCAGAAACCGAAACGATTCTTTTCCATTTCGATTCGCCTGCTCTGGTTTGTACCTTGATATGAGGAGGTTTTGAGAAGCCGCTCGATCAATTTCCGATCGATGAGGCTATCATCGACAGCGAGAACATGGAATTTGGATTCAGAAACCATACCCATTGCAGCAACAGAAGATCCCATAACAGAGAGGAAGAAGAAGAAGGTGAAGAATTTTGAGAGAAATGGAAATGGAAATGGAAATGGAAATTGGGAGGAGCTGAAGGGAAAAAGGGAGAGGGAGAGGAGAAGAGAAGAGATGAATAGCTTTGTACTGCAAACAAAGACCCACCAAAATCCACATCCCACAAAGCAAGATCCGACCAGATTTCCTCACCAAATCTTGCAATATT